TGACTCCAGGACACTGGTGAGGCGTGTCGGGGTCTGCCTTCTGCTGGCAGCGTGCCCGCTGGGGTCGTGACCCCGTGCAACCTTATGCACACTTGCATAACGAGGTCAGGTCAGGATTCGTGACTTAATCCATGACCAGGTTGTTTCATCTGGAGGTACACGGTTGTAAGCAGGAGACACGGTGGTTAGTGAGGGGTAGGGGGGAGGAGACACGGTGTTTAGTGGGGGAGGGTGAGAGGGGGGGGGGGAGAGACACGGTGTTAAATGAGGGGAGGGGGGAGACACGAGGTTTAGTGAGGGTGAGACAAGGTGTTTGGTGAGGGGGGGGGGGGCACGGTGTTTGGTGGGGGGGGGGGGGGGGGGGTGAGACATGGTGTTCAGTGGGGGCGAGACACGGTGTTAGGGGGGGGGACGAGACATGGTGTTTAGTGGGGGGGGGGTGAGACATGGTGTTTAGTGGGGGGGGGGTGAGACATGGTGTTGGGTGGGGGTGGGGTGAGACACGATGTTTAGTGAGGGGGGGGGGGGTGACACGGAGGTTAATGAGGGGTGAGACATGGTGTTCAGTGGGGGGGGAGACAAGGTGTTCAGTGGGGGTGAGACACGGTGTTAAGAGATGGACAAGACACCAAGACAGGGTGTTTAGTGGGGGACATGACATGGTGTTAAGTGAGGGACAGGTCATAAGATGTTTTTAGATCAAGCAAGTTAATTTATTTGGTTATAAAGTACCGCCGCAGACCTCAGTTTTCCATTTTTTGTCATTTGTCTGTTGGTCAGAGTGTATCTGTTTGCTTGATCTCGGCATTTTAATGAAGTAAGATCACAACATGACTTTATTAATTGACTCGGCTAACCTTTATAAAAGACAGATCAGAAATTTTTCTCCAGCACTTTTGTTAATGGCGTAGGATGACAAATCTGATTGCTAGCAACACTGTATGACATACAAAGTTTTATCACATCCAGTATCGCATCACATACAACATTTTATCTTCTACAACTTTTCCTAGACTATCCTTCAGTGGTTGACCTAATTTCAGTTTTCTGGAAAAGCCAAGCCAATTAATTTCTTAGAATTAGTGGGAGAAGGCGAGACGTGGTTTTAGAATCAGTGCATGTGCTAACTCTAACAAATGGCTTTCTCTGTGGGTTATCACGGTTATACATGGCTTTCTTATGGCTTATCACACTAACAAATGGCTAACTTCTGGCTATTCTCGCTAGCTAACAAATGGCTAACTTCTAGCTATTCCCACTAGCTAACAAAAGGCTAACTTCTGTCTATTCTCGCTAGCTAACAAAAGGCTAACTTCTGGCTATTCTCGCTAGCTAACAAATGGCTAACTTCTAGCTATTCCCACTAGCTAACAAAAGGCTAACTTGTGGCTATTCTCGCTAGCTAACAAAAGGCTAACTTCTAGCTATTCCCACTAGCTAACAAAAGGCTAACTTCTAGCTATTCCCACTAGCTAACAAAAGGCTAACTTCTGGCTATTGCCACTAGCTAACAAAAGGCTAACTTCTAGCTATTCCCACTAGCTAACAAAAGGCTAACTTCTAGCTATTCCCACTAGCTAACAAAAGGCTAACTTCTGGCTATTGCCACTAGCTAACAAAAGGCTAATCTACACATATTCACTGACCACTGTCGCCAACAGCCCAAGATAATGAACGACCAGTTGACCTTTCACCTGATAGTGTGAGACATCTAAAGGACCAAGAGTTGCACAGTGATGACGTCATATTTCTCTCCCTGGGACGCTAGTTTCAAAAGTCATCCACCATTCATGGGAGTCTGCGTGATATTCTCTTGGGAAGGGGGGGGGTCACTTCAGACTTCAGGTGTCTACTTGGGTAATTAGTTGTCAGCAAGAATCCCTTAAATTAATTAAATTGTCCCTTTACCCAAATGGTTTATTTAGTTTACTCAAATTTAGTATATTTTTCTTAATTTTTTCCCTCAATACTAGTCGTTTTTTTTTGGGGGGGGGGGGGGGGGGGGGGGTGACTCAAGCGAACCCTACATGATCTATAATGCAGCCATCTATAAATACACCCAAGACTCCATGCCCACCCCAGTCCCAAGATTCTTATGGTAAGGTTAAATATTTGACTCTTTGATTGATGTACTACTCTAGATCTGCTTTTTGGTAGAAGACTGGACCCCCTCCCCATCCACTCCCTCCCCCACCCCCGTGATGCACCTCACCAGTGCTGCACACTTCCCGCCACATCTGACTCTCGCAGACGATCACCAACAAAGCTAGCAGCAGATAACAGGACACGGTCCGCAGATCGTCCCCAGACTCCAGGAAATGCTAGCACCATCTACCCACCAGCCAACGGGTAACACGTGACCTGCGCATGTCTGTTAGCCACGTGACGTCCCACTGTCCAACACATGCAGCAGACACGTGTCTTATACTGCCGTCTGCTAAGACTGGAACCTACACTTTAATCCCGCGCGTCTCCTTAAGGAACCGGTTAATTAGCTTTGTCGTGTTCTAGAAGATTCCGTCCCGCTGTAGCACATGTCACACACGTGTTGGTAGAACACACACATACACACATAATCAGGTACACACTTGTGTTACATCATGGCGCCCACACGCATGTTATACGGAGAACACATTCAACACACTACACAGCATAAACTAATTTAGACAACACTCAGTTAATTAGAGTTTTTAATTAGATGTTACATTATATTTTAATTAGATATTGCGTAATGTTTTAATTGGATGATCGGTGGGGGTCCGAAAGCTGAGGAAACGGTCGAGTAAAAATGTTTTTAAAAATATCAAGTTTTAAAGCGTGGAAAACTTGATGGAAAAATTGATCTTGTTTTTAAAATAAGAGGTAGAGTGGGTGGTGGATAAAATAATGTGTGTGTGAATGAGGAGAGGGGAGATGCAGGGAGTGGGAGGGTAATGGGGAGGAGGGGAGCGAGAGGGAAGGTGATAGATGAGGGTGAAACGCGAGAGTGTGACAAAAAATGGAGGAAGATGAGTACGACAGAAGATGGCGGCGTGTTGGTGATGTTGTGGATAGACGAGGGACGGAAGGGAGAGACTAGAGATGGATATGGATATCCGGATATTGGATGGGAGGCGTGGATATGGATTTTCGGAGATGGAAGGCAAGAATCTGTAGACTAGACGGACAAACTTTGGATATTGTTTGTGGATTAAAGAGGAAACAGTAAGCTTTCTTTAAATGTGATGTCACTTTACGTAAAGGTACCTAAGTCACAGTGTGTTACTTCTCGTGTGCGTTTAGTTATGTAGATTTCAGTTAACACCAGATTGTGGTGCAGTATTGTGGTGTTGGTGGTTGGGGGAGGGATGTTTGACTTTGTTGTGTAGATTTCAGTTAACACCAGATTGTGGTGCAGTATTGTGTTGGTGGTGGTTGGGTGGGGGGGGGGGGGGTATGTTTGACTTAAGCGGTCTTAATAACTTAAACTGCTTGTGACAATGTGTTAATCATACGCGGAAAAAAAACTAGATGGGTTATGTTTAAGATCAGGTGATTGTTTGGTTCTGAGATTGAATGGAATGATTGCTAGTAGAGAGGACAGCTGTCTCACGTTAAGTTACAGATGTTAGGGACGGCTCCCAGTTTCAAATTTTTGAATTTCATAAAACCTCATCTAACCCTCCCCTTTATCTTCCCTCTATCAAACTAATTCCAGAATATGCCACTGAGAAGCCTAGTAGATACATAGCGACGTCTGTATGGACCTGGATCAAGCCTTGTGGAGAATGGCAGCTATATTGGAATTCTAATGGCAAATAGCAGATATGGGTACATTAATTGCATATTAAAGATATGAGATCTCTAATGACATATAGCAGATATGAGCAGTGGCATAGCGAGGTCGGGTGTCACCCGGTGCGGCACTTAATGGTTTCACCCCCCCCCCCCCCCACAGAGGCGTTGCGACCCTTTCCGGGGACAAACTTTCAAGTTTTCGATTTGCAACCCCCCCCCCCTCAAACTTTCGATTTGCACCCCCCCCCCCGCTCAAACTTTCGATTTGCACCCCCCCCCTCAAGTTATTTATTTGCACCCCCCTCAAACTTTCGATTTGCACCCCCCTCAAGTTTTTCTCTATATATTTTGCTTTTTTTTGCCTTGGTGTCACCCCCCTAAATGGTGTCACCCGGTGCGGTCCGCACCCCCCGCACCCCCCTCGCTACGCCCCTGGATATGAGCACTAATGGCATACAGTAGATATGCTAACTCTAGTGACATATACAAGATATGAGAACTGTAATGGCATATAGAAGATATGAGAACTCTGGTATTTGGAAGATATGGGAACGCCAAATGACATATGGGAACTCCTAATGACATATGGAACATCGTGCAAACAAAAGACGAGTGCTGGGGCAGGATACCGTAAAACATGTCAGCTACTGACTCCGAATCATCGACTCGACACTGACGCGGCACGTCACTGATCTAATGACCCGGTCCTAACGACGTTCTGTCGACCCAGCCCCGGGGTCGATGCCAGACCCACCCTGGCACTGACCAGTCGCTGACCACCACGTCTCATGAATAGAATGATGTCCGCGCGGTGATGTAGGGTTACAAAATACGCACGAGAGACGTCAACTATCCCTGCCCGTCCGTATCCCCCGTCCCTGCCCGTCGCTCACTGTGAAAGTGCTAATGCCTGTCAGGGACGGGGTGAGCGTGGCACCACCACGACCAGCACTCACTCGGCGCGAGTCGTGTCAGCGGTGGTAATCATGTTGACGAGCAGGGGGGGTGTGTTGGTAACCGCCCTGTCACGGGGTAATGGCCCGACTTGCCCTTCCTCCCGAGGTGCGTACCGTCGCTGATTGGCCCGTTCCTTGGCTGACCTACGCGGCTGGCGGGCGGCGAGGCCAGCCCGGCGTACCATCAACCCTCGCTTGATATCTCGCGCTCGCCTCGCCCAGCCAATGAGCACGGGCCAATCTCCGGTATAGGGAAGGCCCCCCCGAGTCGTCAGGGGCCACGACCAGACCTTACTAATTGTCAGTCCGCGGCTCCTGGCATGATACCTCTGACACCGTCCGCCCTTATAAGGGTAGCCGAGCCACCGACTTGCTACTTGTTTTACTAGCGGTGTCGGGGTTACAACCCCAGGTTCTAACTTTCACAACCCGGACCCGTCTTCTAGCGTAGCGTATCAGATAACGTGAGCCTGGTGTCTAGGCTAGCTCTACCTCCACCTTCCCAGCAGTCCGTCGTAGCTCATGCAGGACTAACTAAACCCAGACTTACATCTCAAGAGGTCCTTCTCGACTACCCGGGATTATCTGCTGATATCTGTGTGTCCACACTTGTGACTTTTTCGTTCCTTCAAGCGGATATCAACTTGCCCGTGTCAGTGTTTCGCTTGTGGGACAAAGTACCTTGACTTAGTGTGTAGCGTGTTCAGTTTCCTTAGCTTGGACTATCATGTACATTTGTTGATTTTAGTTCGGAAAATAAAAACAATTTTCGTGACGGACCGCGAGCGATTTATGGCTGTGAGTCTGGCGCGTGTGATGGACATGCCTCAACCAGCGCCTGTGATTCCATGGAGAGAGCCGGCAGACGATATGACTGGACACGGGCCTTTGATTAGCTCCGTCGGACACCCGGCCGTTCCAGCACCGTCTCAACCGTCCGGTAATTCCGTCGTGCCGCCTTCGTCTTGTACAACCATCGTCCCTGTCGACTCCGTCCCCCCCGGGTCACCCCCCGGCGGCAACCACCACAACGGCGGCACGCCCAACTCCAACATGTCTGAGAACAACAACAACAAGCAACAAATCGAGTGTGTTGTGTGCGGGGACAAAAGCTCCGGCAAGCACTACGGGCAGTTCACGTGCGAGGGGTGTAAGAGTTTTTTCAAACGGAGTGTCCGCCGAAACCTTACCTACACGTGCCGGGGCAGCAGGAACTGCCCGATTGACCAGCACCACAGGAACCAGTGCCAGTATTGCCGGCTGAAAAAATGCCTCAAGTCTGGAATGAGGAGGGAAGGTAGGTGGGATGCAGGTCAGTGTGGGTGTTTGCTGGGTTCATTCACTCACACAATCATACACGTCCCTCGGTTCATTCACTCACACAATCATACACGTCCCTCGGTTCATTCACTCACACAATCATACATGTCCCTCGGTTCATTCACTCACACAATCATACACGTTCCTCGGTTCATTCACTCACACAATCATACACGTCCCTCGGCTCATTCACTCACACAATCATACACGTCCCTCGGTTCATTCACTCACACAATCATACATGTCCCACGGTTCATTCACTCACACAATCATACACGTCCCTCGGCTAATTCACTCACACAATCATACACGTCCCTCGGCTCATTCACTCACACAATCATACACGTCCCTCGGTTCATTCACTCATTCACTCACACAATCATACACGTCCCTCGGCTCATTCACTCACACAATCATACACGTCCCTCGGCTCATTCACTCACACAATCATACACGTCCCTGGGTTCATCCACTCGTTCACTCACACAATCATACACGTCCCTCGGTTCATTCACTCACACAATCATACACGTCCTTTTGTTCCTTCACTCACACAATCATACACATCCCTAGGTTCATTCGCTCACACAATCATACACGTCCCTGTGATCGTTCACTTACACAATCATAACCGCCCGTATCCAAAAACACACACACACACATACACCAACTCTAATTCACACAATCATACACGTCATCCAAAGCCCTTATAACACCCAGAAGATCGCTATACAATTTCTATAACCACATCAGCTATTGACCAGTGTCTTGGTTCAGATCCTTCAATATCTCAACCTACCTAATGCTACTATACCATATCGTTGCAAATCGACCTCACTGCTTGCATTCAACTCTAACTAATGTTGCTACAGCCGTAGACATTATAAGTTCACTTTACGCTCAACTAAAACTCAAATTCTGATCAGTCTTCATTAATTAACAATAGTTTACATACATACGGACAGCTTACTTTATTGTTTTGTCTACTTCACATTGCTAAACTACAGCTACTTTTGTTCCTTTAGCACGTTAACTGTATAACCCATACATTGAATGTGCGATACCCTAGTTCAGTCACAATCCTATGGTTTATAATCACTCTAAATAAACCTACAACCCAACAACCCAACTGCCCAACTACTCCAAGTTATAATTCAACTAATGTTCAACCTCTCCAAAGCCAACCCAACCATCGAACCACACCAACCATAATCCAACCATCGAAACAAACCAACCATAAACCAACTATCTAACCACACCAACCATAACCCAACCATCGAACCACGCCAACTATTACCCAACTATCTATGCACCACCCCAAACACCGCCACTTTTTAACAACCGTAAACGGAAGAATTCTACAATTCTCTCTCCTAATCCTAAGCTACGCTACTTATTACATGAAGTCACCAAACTACAGACTTGTCATAGTCTTTTTATTCAAAGTACTCCCCAACCAACCCATTATAGTATTCCCCAACCAACCCATCACAATATTCCCCGAACCACCTATTAAAGTACTCCCTAACAACCACATCACAGTATTCCCCAACCAACCCATTACGGTATTCCCCAACCACCACCTCACAGTATTCCCCAACCAACCCATCACAGTATTCCCCCAACCAACCCATTACGGTATTCCCCAACCACCACCTCACAGTATTCCCCAACCAACCCATTACAGTCTTCCCCAACCACCACACCACAGTATTCCCGCAACAAACCCATCAAAGTATTCCCCAACCACCCCATCACAGTATTCCCCCAACCACATACAACCCACGAGACGAACTAAGTTCACCCAGAATGACATTAAACTGAGTCGGCAATTGTTGACCAAACTTTGACAGGATGACAATCAACCACCAACCCGCTAGTTGATGTTGACTGTAATGTGACAAGATTTTGTAAACAATATCATCTCGTTAAGTTCGTTACACAGCTGGTTCGGTCAGGGGGAATTTCGTTAACAGCTATTTCTGTAGATCATAGATTATATGGGTTAGGCTAAATCTCCTGTATGTTGATGATATAATGCATGGGTTAGGCTGAATTAGTTATGTCAAGATATGTCAGTCGTATTTGTCATTGCTATATTGACTATTGCTGTGTTTACAATATCAAGTGTATTCCTCACAGTACAAGTACTTGAATAGTTAGGTGTAACGACTACATGTAATTCAAACATTACATTCTTAAATCTAGCAAAAAATATTATAATTAAATTAAGGCCTGCTTTTTAATGTTTATGTTTTTATTTTAAAATTTACCATTAAAATATAATTACATTTGGAATCTAAATATTTTCAATTGTTAAATATAAAAGAAACGATGGTTATGTAGAGACGTTTTCACTTGCGCAATTTCTTCGCGTGTTACATTATTTTTACAACTCGCCTAGTACGACGTATAACAGATGCTTCTACCAAATAAAGACTCAAGTTTCTGTATCACCTACAAACTTAGTTCGACTTTATCTTTCATGGTCACCTAGCATGGCATCTTGCTGTATGATGCAGATAAACGCAAAAACCCCGACACAAAGGTTCAGCATAAAGAAACACCGCGTGACGCTCGCCCTCTAGATGAGTACTTAAAGTGGCCACACTTGGTGCTCAAGGGTCGCACGCCACGGGTCAAACAATTAAACCCAACCCCACTTAGGTCTAGTACGGCTGATAAGTGGCGGTCAGTGGTTTAAAAAAAAAGTAATTTTCTGAGTTTCAATAGACCAGCGAAGAACTAACGCTGACCTTCTATAGACCAGCGAAGTCCTAACTGTGAATTTCACTAGACCAGCGAAGACCTCTGAGCTTCTATAGACCAGCAAAGACCTAACGCTAACATTCACTAGACCAGCGAAGACCTAACCCAGAGCCTCTATAGACCAGCGAAGACCTAACGCTAACATTCAGTAGACCAGCGAAGACCTAACGCTAACATTCACTAGACCAGCGATGACCTAACGCTAACATTCACTAGACCAGCGAAGACCTAACCCAGAGCCTCTATAGACCAGCGAAGACCTAACGCTAACATTCAGTAGACCAGCGAAGACCTAACGCTAACATTCACTAGACCAGCGAAGACCTAACCCAGAGCCTCTATAGACCAGCGAAGACCTAACGCTAACATTCAGTAGACCAGCGAAGACCTAACGCTAACATTCACTAGACCAGCGAAGACCTAACGCTAACATTCACTAGACCAGCGAAGACCTAACCCAGAGCCTCTATAGACCAGCGAAGACCTAACGCTAACATTCAGTAGACCAGCGAAGACCTAACGCTAACATTCACTAGACCAGCGAAGACCTAACCCAGAGCCTCTATAGACCAGCGAAGACCTAACGCTAACATTCACTAGACCAGCGAAGACCTAACGCTAACATTTACTAGACCAGCGAAGACCTAACCCAGAGCCTCTATAGACCAGCGAAGACCTAACGCTAACATTCAGTAGACCAGCGAAAACCTCTGAGCTTCTATAGACCAGCGAAGACCTAATGCTGACCTTCACTAGACCAGCGAAGACCTAACGTTGACCTTCACGAGACCAGCGAAGACCTAACTTATCAAATATTTTGAAGTCGAACCATCCGAAATATTACACACATAATGCCGAGCGATACGATCTCACCAAAACGGGATGTTTAAATACCTATGGTCTCGTCAATATTTTCTCAGTCCGAAATGTTGAATTGACAGAATGTATAAATGTGAATATTCACACTGTCTCTAAAAGTGAATAGTGTCTATAAAAGTACATATAAGTCAATATTGACAGTGTCTATACTAACTGATAATTTATGTTCTTTCTTAGTTTCATTGCTGTTTTAAAACAGGTCTAGGTGTTATGTTGATGTGAGTGACGTTTGTGACACCTAGACCTAAATACTTTCTCATGCGTAGATGTAGTTGTCGCGGTATGAGCGATTTTAAAACAATTTCAAAATTACAGACATTTTAAAGACAGGGACAAGCTTAGCTTTGTCACAAAAGTTAGGATTGTTACGCTAGTGCTGAGATTACATTGTTACAAATATTCTTACAAAAGAAATGAATGGCTAAGTTGTAAGCAAAGATTGTAGAGAATTAGTAAGCACTGACTGTTACATAAGTAGTAAGTACAGATAGTTACAGATGTAGCCAGCAAAGATTATTACATATGTAGTAAGCAAAGATTGTTACAGATGTAGCCAGCAAAGATTGTTACATATGTAGTAAGCTAAGATTATTACAGATTTTGTAAGCAAAGATAGTTACAGATGTAGTAAGCTAAGATTATCACTAATATAGTAAGCAAAGATAGTTACAGATATAGAAAGCAAAGATTGTTACAGATGTAACAATCACGGTTGCAGCAAGTACCATATCACTATTATCACAGCACAGTGTAACTGCACTACAACGGACCGTAACAGCACACAGCGTGCTGTAACAAATCCACTGCCTGTGTAGTCTGAGGTCACGGTGACTTTTGAAAGGCTCGATGTCTTTCCGTCCGTTTCTACCAGCACACCAACCCACACGTACACACACTCGTACACACAGCCCATGTGATCAGCTCTAGCATTACAGAAATTAAATCTCTTCCAGTGCCGGAATGAAAGGCTCGTTCTGTTTGTTGCCTGTGTGGGGTGGGGGCGAGGGTTGTGGGGGTGGGGGAGGTGCTGTAGTTGTTGAATTAAGTTACAAATTAAATGTGGCACACGCATGTCAACGTCGAGGGAACTGCCTGCAAAGATTTGTTGTCACTAGGTCTAGCATTACAGAGCTGTGGTCTATGTTATGCTTGGGGTGATAGGCTATACTAGTGTTAACTTCTTCAGTATATGTTGACTTGTCTAAACTAATGTTGACGCGACTATACTCATGTTAACTTATCTACACTGTTGTTAACACTACTATACTAATGTAGATATTTGCAACAATAACGTTCTATTTTAAAACTGACGTTAACCTTACTATACTAAATCTACTTATCTACAAACAATGTTAACGTTTCTAAATTGACATTGACATTACTATAATTTACTAGCATAGCCTGTGAATAATCGTGTTAACTTTACATACTAATGTTCTTTTGACTATACATGTACATTTAACATTCATTACTAATGTAAACTTAACTATACTGATGTTAACTAGACTATACGAGTGTTAACTATATTGTTAACCAACTAAATACGACTACCGTGTAGTTTGTTTACCTAGCCGGCGGTAACAATCTTCAACAGGTGGTGACGACTGTCCTGGTATATTGTGAATGCTTCCCCATGCAGAGCTGGTGTTTAATGTACTAAAATAATGGCTTAAATCTGATAATATAATCTATGTAAATATATGACATGGCCTGGTGGAATGGTAGAGCTTACGACTGCTAACCCGAATGTTTCGAGTTCGAATTCGAAGACCTTACTATCTTTTCATATGCGAGGTCACAAAAACAGGGGTACGTAACTTCACTTGCTCCATGGAGCTTTAGTTTCTAAAGGGAAAGATACATGACGATATTGTTAAACCTATACGCATATATTTACTGGTTGAAACTTATGTTGACTATATCGATAAAGATGTTTACTAAAGTCATTTTGACCATATACTGCACTGATGTTTTACTAACTTAGCACATCACAGACTAAAAATAGCGTCTGACGAGACTCATAGGGTAGGGGTTTAATTAGCGAAGAAATGTTGAAATCGTTGCCGGCTTGGATTAATTAATTAAAGAGTTTTACTAGACACACGCTGACATGCGCAGAAACTTAATGCCCTCTCGTGCACTCTTTAACCGGACACCTGATCCCCTCCCCTCCCACCCTGATATCCTCACCCCCACCCTGCTTGTTGACACCCCTACCGCTTATGCACCCACCCTGATATGCATCCATCCCCCTATCCTGCCCGTTAACACCCCTCCCTTTTATACACCCACCCTGATATCCTCATTCCCACTGTGCCTGTTGACGCCCCTACCCTTTTTACACTTTACACCTACCTTGATATGCATCTTCCCCCCCCCCCCCCACCCTTAACACCCCTACCCCCTAAACTCCACTCACGCCCAACCCACCTCTAAGTAAATCAAGCCTGATTACACAGCTGTTAATTGCCCCCCCCCCCCCCGATAATATCCGTGCATAAGACTTCACCCACTGCCTACAAGTTAAGTCCCCGGGTCAAAGTTCACCGCTCCATTGCCCCCACAAAAAGCCTGTCAGACCGGCAGATAAAGAAATTCACGTCTGTCTCGTACACACCTCGCTGGCTGCACACTTGGTCCCTGCATGTTATGTGACCTTAGATAACACCTTTGCCCTCCCCTACCCTCGCTGTTACAGTGTTACCCGCAGCCTGATAGCGACCATCTGTTTCTTGCCGTGGTTCCAGAACTCCCTGACCAGCACTTAGAACCGTCGGTTTTGTAACGGACGGCACCAACTGCATGAAAATATCAGAACCGGTTCGTCTTGTTCTGATTTTCTTCAACCAGTGGTCCGAAATTCGGCCAGGATTGTTTAATTTGGACGTGTGAACCACCCCCCCCCCCCCTCCCCCGATGTTTCGTTCCCCCCGTGGTTAGCGTGTAAGCGGGAAGCGACATGTTTAATGGTGGCTGTCTCCGTAGATTCTACTTTCTTCTTTCCCAGCAGAAGATAACGGTTAACGGGTTCATTAGCGCCAGTCCTTCACAGGCCCCAGAAGGGCAGTTAACAGGGTCTTAGTGGGAAGTGGGGGTGGGGGTGGCGGGATGGAAGATGGGGGGGGGTGGAGACAGAGCCTTAACACATTCATCTAGTACTTTTCTCACTAAATATCCCATGTCATCAACACACGTAGCTTGTTTGTTCACATATTTTATTTCTGTACGGCTTTCTAGGGAATTTTAAAGCACACAGACAGATACACATCCTTCTTAAATTAGAAGTCACATGTCTACGTTACTAGTAGTAACACATTTATGTTGTTGGTCGTGTCTACGAAACTAGCAGTAAAATGTTTATGTTGCTAGTCATGTCTACATTACTTGTAGTAACACATTTATGTTGCTAGTCATATGTCTACGTTACTAGTAGTCAAATGTTTATGTTGCTGGTAGTGATATATCTACGATACTATTCACATTGTGTCTGTTTTTCTAATTGTAGCGTGTCTATGTTACTAGTAGTTACACATTTATGCTGCTAGTCGTGTCTAGAAAACTAGCAGTAAAATGCATATGTCGCTTGTCATATGTCTACGTTACTAGTAGTAGCGTGTTTATATTACCAACTACATCAGGCCCTCTTCTCGGCTGAAAATGTTTCCATGATTTTGTGATGTTAGTTACTCAATTGAATCTGACAATATTGTTCACAGAGTGTTTGTGTTACTGTTACTAATGAGCGTCATGTTTTTAGAACAAAACGCATTTAAAATGACCAGTGCTACGTTTAGATATTGGTAAGAGTACCATTGTACTGAGTAGGATTGTACTGAGTACCAATGCACTGAAAACAATTGCACTGAGTACCACTGTACTGAGCAACACTGCACTGAGTACCATTGTACCGAGTACCATTGTACTGAGTACCATTGTACTGAGTATCATTCAATACTGCCGAACAACGTTTGTTATTGGATACATTATATTTAGATAGCCTAATCTAAATTCACACGATATCTTAGTATACAATGTAAATGTGAAATTAAGCCTTTCGGCCAATGAAAACCTGGCATGACTGTCACTGCCCAGAAAGCGGAAGTTGATGGTTGGGACCAATGAAAACCTCGACTCGTTGACTTGTTTGTGTGGCAACTTCCGGTCTGTGATAGCATTGATATACTGGCACCAAATAAACTATAGCGAAAATAAAAATAAAAACCCACATATTGTAGATGTTAAAAGACTGGGATTTCCCTCTAATATTCCACTCCCTCACATATCATCCTTCAACACGGGTCCATCTTAGATACGGGTGTCTCTGATTATTTAATCTCATTGCCTTGTTTTGTTTCAAAATGTAGACAATAAATTCATATATTAAGGTATTGTAGAGTTAACCAATGAACCACAACTAATTCTGTTTTTGTTGTTGTTCTACTTCCAGCCGTCCAGAGAGGCCGTATCCCACCCACCCAGCACCCATTTCACGGACAGATGGCCTTTCACAACGGCGACCCCCTCAACGGCCACACCTACCTGTCCAGCTTCATCTCCATGCTCCTGCGGGCCGAGCCCTACCCCACGTCCAGGTTCGGCAACTGCATGCAGCAGCCCAACATCATGGGCATTGAGAACATCTGCGAGCTGGCCGCCCGCCTGCTCTTCTCCGCCGTGGAATGGGCCAGGAACATCCCGTTTTTTTCCGGAACTCCAAGTCACTGACCAGGTGGCGCTGCTCCGCTTGGGCTGGTCTGAACTGTTCGTCCTCAACGCGGCCCAGTGCTCCATGCCCCTGCATGTGGCGCCCCTCTTGGCGGCCGCGGGGCTCCACGCCAGCCCGATGGCGGCCGAGAGGGTGGTGGCTTTCATGGACCATATCCGAATTTTCCAGGAGCAGGTGGAGAAATTGAAGGCACTGCATGTAGACTCGGCTGAGTACAGTTGTCTCAAGGCGATAGCACTCTTTTCGTCAGGTATGTCACGTGATTTCATGGGTCTCGTTGTTACCATCAATTTACAACCATCACAACCATCGATACACCACCATCACCATCTATACATCTTCATCACAACCATGTATACACCCCCATCACCATATACACAACCATCACAACTATATACACACCACCATCACCATCTATACATCTTCATCACAACCATGTATACACCCCCATCACCATATACACAACCATCACAACTATATACACACCACCATCACCATCTATACATCTTCATCACAACCATGTATACACCACCATCACCATATATACAACCATCACAACCATATATACACCACCATCACCATCTTCATCATAACCATCAATACACCACTATCACAACCATTCTTAGAGCGCCATCTTACCTGATCTAAACATCATTACAATCATTATCATCACTACCATCTTTTCAATGTAAATATAACTTACTTATCATAGCTTTTCTTGTAATCGAATGTACTTTCTACTATATAATTATTTTAACTAGGCCCCTATACAATATTCTTTTTACTAGTCTAAATCTGTTTCTAAAATTTTTAAGAGATCATTATAAAGTCCCCGTTAGTTATTTCAAGCACCGTATATTTAATGATGCCTCTATTTTTAAAAACTATAAACTTGATAGACTTTCGTATAAGCTTTTTACAAAAACTGGTCTATATCATCTCTATATCATAACACGAGTATAACATAACTATACAAACTAACCCTACTCATGACAACCACCACACCACTACCACCATCACCAAACCATCACCATCATTATATTAAACCTTTTCTCACATTTAAAAAAAATCCCTTTTTGAAAAATATCTTACTCAACAGTATTATCCCTGTTACTTACTTCAAAGTCAGAACTTTAAAGAAAATCTAACTTTACTGTAAATTACTTCAGTATTTACTCAATCAATATAAGTTGCGTACGTAATCACCCAAGTAATGTAAGTTACTTGAGTAATCATCCAAGTAATGTGAGTTAATTCAAACATCTCACACAGCACTTCCGCCTCACACAACGAAAACTCTCGACAACCCCTCTTTAAAATTTTGATTCCTCAAATTTTCCTCCTTGCCATTTCACTTTACCTCCCTTACAAACAGAATGTCAAAACTGAATTAAACATAGAATTATGCATTTAATAAAACAAACAACCACGTGCGTCCTAATTGCCTGTTAATTGCTACTTAATACGACTAAAGATTAACGACAAACATCGTAGCGCGCGCTGCAAATAAATCCCGTGATTTTGTTAAATTCATCCACGAGGTGTCTTGACCCAAGATTTAAATATTGCTTGAATTCGTCACGTAAGTAGTTGTTGAAGGTTGAAATTTAATACTCGTGTGATTCTAATGCGGTAATGCTACTTTATTACAAGTAGTACAAGACAAATTGTAAGCGGTTAAAGTGAGTTGATCAAGACATGATTCACTGTATTGATCCCATGCTCCTTTCTAATGTACACGTCACTATTTAAACATTGAATTGACCCCGTTTCACATCACGTGACCCACAAATACAAAAATAAAAAAAAATAAAAAACGAAACAATAACACGTTGACAAGATAAAAAAAATACAGATATATTTTAAAGATCAAAATCTAGAAGAAAAAAATCTCGTCCAATCAGAAAGCGCCGCGTGTACAGAACAAAAATCTATAGTCCCCACTCAAGAGAAACACGCCCTCGACCCCGGGGGAGGAGAAGGGGGGGGGGGGGGGTGTTCCTTACGTCCACGTGTTGTTTCGTCAGAGTGCCACGGCTGAACTTTGACCTCTGACATCATAAACTTAATAATAATCTAAGTACTAATTGGCCCGCGTGCTAGATGAAAGCAAAGAGAAAACGGCGACGTTTCTGCTAAATATATCTGAGACGGGCTCACGATTCACGCGCAGGTCGATATGTAATTATATGTATGTCGGTGTGGGATGACGAGGTATAGAGGAGAAATACTTGACAGTGTAACGCATGGTTTGGTGGGGAGATGGGAACACTACTGGCATGATTTTTTGACAATTTTATTTTATTTTAAAGTTGAGGGAAATAGGTACAAAGCTAGGATGATTTTGTGACATTTAAAACTTTTTTCATAAAAGTTGGGAGTGCGTAAAGGTGGGGGACCGATGAAGTCAGACATATTTTAAAATGGTGATATACGTTTGTAGTGTGGAGAGAGAGAAACAAACGACGCTAATTGTGTGAGGTTCCCCCTCCCTCCCCTCCATTTAGCGTACGTGGTGTTCTTGATCACACTAACCCGAGCAATTAGTGAAGAAAATAAATAAAACGTTATTTTGCAACGTTTCAGTTTTACAGTCTTGTTTTTTTTAAAAAGCATTTTAAAGTTTTCAAGTTGGATTAAATAAAATTTGACATTTTTCTTGTAACATAACTTTAACTATATGGTACCGACATTTTTGTGCTTATCTCCAATGGTGTTAAATAATATCAAGAACTTTTTATAAAACCCTAAACCAAACTAATCAATAATACTTTATCGATTTTCTTGTTGATTTATGAGGTTCTTTTTGACGGAAAAAGTTAAGAAATGATAGACGCATTTCTTGCAAACATTTTGTTTCAGGGAAAGGGCATTTTGACACTTCTGGTGCGGGTGTGGTGTGTGAGTGGGGGGGGGGGGGGGTTACAAGGATGGTTTAAGTAAGCCTATATGTTTTTTTACTTAAATATAATATTCTCTGTCTATTTGGGCCGGGGTGGACTTGTCTGAAAGAAACACGGGTCATCTCCTGGGCCAGCAGCGTGGGCTCATGGGTCAGACCATATCCAGTGTGGGCTCATGGGTCAGACCATATCCTAAGCCAGCTTTGAGAGTGACCTCCATTCAGCGCCTGTAGAAAAACGCGACCCCTGGACCCCGTCACGCCCTCCCCCTGCCCGGGCTAGTCCAACAATCGAGCGGTCAAGCCGGCGCGTGGCTGAGTCGCGTGCTGGCCCCGGCCCGCGGATCTTGCCCTCGCTCTCATGTCTGACCACCCGCCCGGCCCCCGCGCGTTGGTCGTCTCTCATTGATCAGCGGACTGCCCGGGCTGGTAGCCCCGCCCTTTTCGTGACCTGAGGGTGGGTCTACACATCCCAGGGCGCGACCTTCTGACCACGGAGCGTCATCCACGCGAGCTCTCAAAACAAGAAAAAGTGGATCGGAAACGCTGGGTTTTTAAAAAAGTTGGATTGGGACTGAGTGTTCGAATTTTAAAAAATGGATTGGAACTTAGTCACACTTTAAAGCAGGGGTCTCCAAACTTTTCAGCCCGAGGGCCGCATTAACTATCAAATATCAGTTCGGGGGCCAGTTTCTTCCAGGCATCTCTTTGGGGATGGCAGAGCCCCCCCCCCCTCCCCTCACTCCCCACCGATGAATATTTGCACCAAAAGCTACATTTTCAACTTGTTTTGAATTTTCTGGGCAAAGTTCCACAGCCACCTCTAACAAACATTTTTTTCCGTGGACAAAAAGATCTCCGCGGGCCGGTTGAGAGGACCTCGTGGGCCGTAGTTTGGAGACCCCTGCTTTAAAGCATCAAATACCCCCCCCCCCCCCAAAAAAAAAAAACAACAACAGATAACTATAAACATATTTTGTTTACATGTTAGAAGAATAAATTATTAAACACGTTTTTAAAACAATAGCATAATTAGGTCACGATTAATCTGGATGCAGTGAAATTATATCACTCATTAATTACCATCATTGATTATGTCGATTAATTATTCAGATAATTAAGCTCAATCTGTCAACCGCATTCGCAGTTGTCCTTAATTTCAAAATAATCACTTCCTTCAATTATGTGTTATTAATTATTAACTTACATAAGAACTGAAGTATTTTCTAAGTAATTTTTAGCTGTAGTAAACATAACATGGGAGACAATCGACCCTTGTAGTCCCTGGTTAATGGTACTGGTATATACTGCTCCATAACGAGCTAGGTGCGTTAGTAATCTTCAATCATTTTTTAACTTACTTTGTATCTGTCTTGTTGAAGACTTGGTGGGAATAGGATTCGTTCTTGTGTCGTCTAGAGAGAGGTTGCGAGAGAGGGAGAGATATATATGTATAGAGAGAGGTAGAGAGAACTCTGCTAAAAAGAAAAAATGTCCTCAGTTCACCCTCATCAATTCTGTGTCCACACGATCCTCCTCCAAGGATAATTGTCATCTCCTCTGCATTTTTTTTACACCTCCTCTCCTCCGTCTCGTCGCCCCCCCCTCTCTTCTCTCACCTCCTCTCTCTTTAACACCTCCTCTCCTCCTTATTTAACATCCTCCCGTCAATACTGCCACCTCCTCCTTGGCCATGCCACCACCTCCTGTCATGTTGTCAACATTGTGTCACCTCTCATGCATCCAGCCAATTTCTCGTTCTAATGAAGCCCTCTTCATATTTAATTCATTTTTCTCTCTCTCTCTCTCTCTCTCTCTCTCTCTCTCTCTCTCTCTCTATCTCTCTCTCCACTACGCACCCTCATACAGTCCTGTTCTTCCATCCTCACCCTCCCTCACACCCCCCATCCCCCTCCCCCCACCTGGCCGCAGGTTCTCACCGTGACGTCACCAGCCCCACATTCCATCCCCCATTTGTTCAGCCCCCTGTGTCAACCCCCCAATGACGTGAACAAACTGTCAACCGGCTCTCAGCTCTCCTGCCGGTTGCCGCGTCCAGCCGGCTGCTCCAACAACCGTACGTGACCGGCACTTGGTGGATCCTCCACTGCCGGCTCGGCTGATGTGTTGACCTGTTTACATGGAGGCGCTCCGTGTTGACATGTGTTTATGTGTGTTGACATGTGTTTATAGATGTTTACACGTGTGGATGTGTTACTGAAGGTGGTCGAAATACATCATCAATCGGTGATTTGACTATTAGGAGATTGGGGTTAGGGTGTGTGTGTAGGGGGGGGGGAGAGATGTTTGAAGGCAACAAGAGTATTAGAATTTAAGCTTGAAAGATG